AAATTTTATTGTAGATAGAATTTATTATAAGAAACATGTTTACTTAATATATAAAATAAGTTTTTATTAATAAAATAGAAAGCTTGATATATAAAAACTATTTCTGATTAATTTTAATAATTTTTAAGTGGTCCTTTATTTATTGGGGGTACTATATATGCAGATTAATGATAACTTATCATGGTTATTCCTAATTAAACCTATATACTATTCTGAAAATGGATAGATTTAACTAGAGGCTGGAAATTAATATATAGTCATCAATGATATTGCTAAGGCTAGTTAGTATTGAGCTATATTTTTAATCATAATCACTAAGTTAGTTCTCTTATGTATGTACTTGGATAGGATTGTATACTCTTCAATACTCTCTGATATTATTCACTCAAACCTCAGAAGGGGGCATGTCACCTTCTTTATCACTACCTGTGGCATCGAGTCAGTTCCTATTGACTGACTTTCAATTAAACGGAGTATTAGATTGAGATATTCTGAGCTAGAAGAGTAGAGATCCTGGAGACTGTCAGGTCAGGTAAAAGTTGTATATATTCAAATGATTAATGCAATCCTAAAAGTGGGGTCCTGAATTTTTATTTCCTGTCCAGTTCAAATGGATAATCGGGTATAATTTATATAATTTGATCAGAGGTCTTTCTTTATGTAATTCTCACAATAGATCTGTTTCAGTTTAACGATCAACAGGAAGACCAGAAGTTCCATCCTCATGCAACCTGATTATTTTTCTCACGGGCCCTTATGTATATTCAATAGATTTTTATTTTCTTTCTAATACATTTAAATTATATTATTTGTTCAGATTTTGAAAGGAGACATGTAATTTTCTTTCTTATCACCTGTAATATAAGATTAATCTTATTAACTATTTTCAATTAAGCATGGCACCAGATGGGATATTTTAAGCTAGGAGGTTAAATCCTGAAGTTTATTAATACAATTGAAGTTAAGTTTGTTTAAATAATTATCACAGTCCTAAAAGTAGAGTCTTAAGATTTTGTTCCTATTCAATTTAAAAGATGAATCAAATAATTATTGTATAATTAGACTAGAGATCTTTCTTTATGCAATTCTTGTAATAAATCATTTTCAGTTTAGTGATTAACAGAGAGATCAAAAATCCCATCCTTATGCAACTTAATTAATTTTTCTTATATAGTCCTCATATGATATTAAACTTTAGATATTGTGATTGTAACTTGAAAGCATTATCACTGTTCAATTAATCCACAGATCTATCATGTATATTATTTTAAAATTTAAAATAAATAAAATTTTTTAAAAATTTTAAAATAAATAATTGTAAAAAAAATAAAAATAATAAATAAAAAAATATTCAAGATTTAAAAAAAAAATTTTTTTTTTAACTTGTAATAATATTATCAGTGTATACATTTATTGAAATATTAAAAGAAAACATCTATAATATATATGAACTTTTACTTGATAACTAATTTATTTTTGTATATTATTAGTTAAAAAACTACATTACTTAAAAAATATGAGAAATCTACTAAGCTAGTTTAGACTAAACAAAACAAAGTCTAAACTAGATACTTTAAATCAGATTTTGAGAACAATATTATATTTTTCTAATAGATTAATTATATCCTCTATCTATTAGAATCATCGCTTATAGTTTATTATTATAGATTATTCTGAAAAATAATAAATTGCTGAATTACAAACTGGAAAAGAGGAAAAAAAAAAAAAGAAAATAATTTATAACTCTCTGAAAAGTTATTATTTAAGTAAACAACTTTCTTTCAAAAGGGATCAACCTGATTGATATATTCTTTGAATTTCAGATTGTCTAAAAAACTTAACTATTTCTAATTATTGAGATTTCAAGAAGAATATTTAGGAAACTTATTTTTCTACTGATATATGAATTCACTTATCATAAGACTAGTATCAATGATATATTACAGTAGAGTTGGTCAGATTGGGATAAAGAAATCTTTGCAAAAATTTTGCTTAACTAGGATAGAAGCTTGAAAATCTTAGCTTTCTTTCTGAAAAAATCTTCTCATTATCTAAAAAACTTGATTAAAAAATAGGAATACTATATTTCATATTCTTTACTTGTCTTTTGATATCATAATTATCTTTCTTGAGAACTTATTTAATTGAAAGATAACTTTTTTATTGACTTTTTTTTCCAATTATCAATAATAACATTAGAATATATAAGTGTGACCAATAGAAGCTTGTTTATATTCTAAAAACTAATGTGTTTTGTGTTAACAAATTACCTTTAGTGAAAATTTGGGCTATCCAAAATTTAGAATTAAATTGAGATAGACAAAATTTTTTAGAAAACCATGAAAGTGGAAGCTCTAAAAGGACATAGATAGTCAAAAAGGAGAAAATAAGTTTTTTTATTGCAAAAAACCTCTATAAACCTTTTACTTCAAAGGTTAAAAAAATCTTTAGGTATTATACAATCAGTTTTTCTTTCTTTGAAAACTTTCTTACTATTAATATCAAAGGTATTACTTGACTTTTCTTGATTACTAAAAGTCAAGTTTATAAATAAAAAGGTTTATAAATAAAAAAGAAAATATAGAAGTGACTTTTGAAGTTATAGATAAAAAAAATATTTCTTGACTTTTCTTAATTATTGTAATCAAGTTTTTATTTAAAAAGAAATATAAATAAGAAAAAAAAAATTTTAAAATAACTTTTAAGATTATTCTACAAGTTGCTTTAAGAAAAGTAGTAAAATTTTATTAGTATAGAAACATAAACTTCTTGTGAACATCTTTTTTGTGTTGTCAAAAGATTAATGAAAAGAATTTCAGATTACCTTAAAATTATATTTATTAATATTATAAAAAATAAATAATTATTATTATATAATAAGGCTTGCCTGACCACGGGATTAAAAAAAAAAATTTATTATTATTATTGTATAATAAGAATCTTTTTTTAATTAAATTAAATTTAATAAATTCCTAAAGAATTTTATTTAAACCATTTGTAAGATATAACTTTAATATTATAGTATTTCTAAATTATTTAATAAAGTAATCTATCCGATCGAATAACAGATTAAAATTGCAAAAAAGAATTTATATATACTATATATAATAAAAATTTAATATCGGCATATAAAAAATTTTTTCTAAAAGACTAATAGATTTTACAACTCTAAATATTGAAGATTCATTAGTAAAAAATTGCATTACATGTAAAGATAACATATTGGAGACACTTTAATGTTGGAATCAACTCCTCGATGAAATTAACAATATATTATAGGTATTCGTGAAATTACAGTATACTCGTTTGAGTTTTATAACACATGTAAAGAAAATTTCAATCGCGTAATAATAAAAGCTCACATTCGAAAATAAAAGTGCCAATTTTATTTGTATTTTACAGCAGACATGCCTACCAAAGACATTCGTAAAAAAAAAAAAAAAAAAAAAAAAAGAAAAAAGAAGCATACATTCCTGCTCAAATTTTCCTACCTTGCTATAACCAACCTGAAAAAAAAGATAAATTTCCTAGTGTCTAATTGTTACACGTTTTATAAATAATTATATGTTCTATAAATTTGTGGAAAACAAGGGTGACAGAGAATATACAATATACAAACCCCAAACCGAGGAAACAACTGACGGAGTGAAGCCATGAATCGAGATGAAGGTTAAAGAATTGCACCCATAGAAAATTTTGTTTATCTGATAGTGCAAGTTTATAAGGATGAAGAAAATAATGTGTCTCTCTGGGTTTATAAACAGGTGGGACCACGTGACAAGGAAACAAAAAACGATTGAATGTCACAACAACCGGCATTCTTATATCTTGTAATCGCTTACCGGATTTTATTTCCTTACCAGATAATCCTGTCTAACAAAAGAAGTGTGTATCTAAAATATTGGAGGCTTTCATACATATTAACTGTGTAAGATCCTGCCTAAAACAACCATTGTCCCATCACACAACCCTCCCTTTAATATTTGTAACATGAGATTGGACAGATAGATCGAGAGCATGCACCTGCTGTCTGAACTGTTCCTAGTTATATCGATACTTTTCGAGCTTTGCTCTTTTTTCCTCCTGGGAAGGGGGCGATGAAGAAGAAATCGAGATGCAGGAATTGATATGGAAGCGAAGAAGAAACTTTTTAAAAAGCGGAAACATAAAAATACCATCGAGATTTCGTTATCACTATAAATCAAAACAACTTTTGAGCTGGATTTCTGTGCACTTTGAGTGGATAGTTGATTGGTCGTATCGTCAAACTGTAAATTATTTTCGGTTGCAGATGACGTTCCCGTCGAGGTGGGAACAGGATTTGCCGAAGGTCCGTTGCTGTAGGGTGCGTATGCTGATGAAACTTGAGGATAAATTGGAGATGTAGATAACATAGGGTTAACCGGTCGATTGGGAAATACAGATGGTTGTGTGGATGCTATTTGAGAACCATATGACGCACTTCCGTATAGTGGGGAGGGAGTACCAACAGGAGCTACAGGGCGCCACGGTTGCCCCGGGATGGCGGGCAATGTTTGTCCCGGTAGTACACTAAATGGTGTAAACATTCACATCATGTTAGGTACCGTATCAATGTGATCGGATAAATCGAATTTAAGAACCTACGTTGATCGGAAGGGAGGCTGTTGGAACGATGGTGCCGGTCTTTGATAGAATTGACTGTATTGGTGGGGCATCAGCGAAGGCATGGATTGTTGTGGAGGGAAGCCGGTAGAATAAGGGTATGATTGGGAGCCCTGCGGATTGCCTTGCATCATAGCTTGATGTTGGGCTAGTTGTTTTTTAATTTCCTCGCTGCTAAGCTCGACCGGTGATGGTTCGTCGATCTTAATTCTTTTGGAAGGTTGTCCACTCTCGAGTGCTTGTACGTGTGCCAACATGTCCTGCTGTGGAATTCCCTCCATACCAAAGATTTCCACATCTACCGATTCTCGACCCTTAATCGCATTGGGGACTCTGAGAATTATAAAATGGAGTGCAGACCAATGTCAGGAATTGTGACGACAAAACAAAAAAAAAAAAAAAAAAGACAAAACCTCATCAACCAACTAAACTAGCCTTTTTTTTTTTTTTTTTACTCAGCTTCGAAAATGAAAATTGAACAAATGGATATAAATTGAAAAAAAAAAAGAAGATAAAAAAGATTATATTCTTTACTGTTCATAGTTTCTAATCCTTACGTGTCAATTGTTTCTTTATGCACTTGCGCAACATGAACCACCATTCCGCCTGCAGTGTTAAGTTTTTTGTTACAGTGTGGACATTTAAAGTGCTTAGCCTTTTGATGTTGAATAAGAACTTTCTCATCCTCAAAGTCTCGTTCGCAATACCTAGAAAGCAAAAACCCAGTGTATAGTCACCCGCGATTAACAATAGATGACGATAAAAGAGTCCGTCATTTAGAGCATTTCAAAAACATACCAGCACCATGGCCTGATCCCTTTTTTATTCTTCTTCTTACCCATCTTTATGTAATTAAATTATTATTTACTATGTCGTTAAATTTTATCTTGAAAGAAAAAAAAAAGAACGGATTTTTGAGCGAAGGTATTGTAGGTATAGTCACTGCAACAATCAGATATGCATGTCCGAAGGCACAGAAGTACAAGTCACAGGATCAATTTTTTTACTTGATGACGTAGGCATAGGTGTCTATTTTTAACGCGTAGGGTATTCTGTGATTGGTTCCGCACAAAAAAACCGGTTGACTCTCATATTTTTTAAAGCTGGCCAGCCAGATGAATTTAAAAAATTTTCTGTTACGAGCCAAGAATCTGCACGGCCTTACGCATAACCTGTAATCTGTGTACTATCGCTTATACAAAAGGGGAACGAGTTCCACTTATTTTACAAGGAACAGTCAATCAAGTATATATATAAATTCAACGTACTGCATGTGCTACAAGAAATTCAAATAGTAATAACTAATAATAATATAATAATAGAAATGATAAGTAAAAAAGCAGAATGGTAAACTTTTAGAGTTCGACTTTTATCTTCGTGCTCATGAATCTTCAACAAAATGGTTCGCGTAATATGTAGGTTGAGTATGCCATAACATAAATATCGACGGTACATCCAATTCTTTTAAAGTGGATCGTTGTACAACGGATGTGGTAGCTCTTTCAATCGGTCAGGTGTCACGGGCGACGAAGATATTGGCGGCGTTGATAACGGCGAACTTGATTTACCATTCGAATTCGGCTTTAGTTTCAGGTTCAAACTACTCGACTTCGACGGCGTTTTTGATGATACCGTGGAAGTCGAGTCTATTCTCTCATAGTTTGATGCGCTGTTCGATCGGAACAGCGATTGTAACGGTGGACTCGAGCTGGTTCTTGAAGATGAATTTTTGACGTTCCGTGATAAGAACGATGAGGGAAATGAAGAAAATGTGTGCCATGGTTTTGTTGAATTCGAAGAAGACGACGATGTACTACTGATGCTATTTTCAGATAGATCACTTGGAGGGAATGATATCATCTCACGCATTTTTGGAGTACCGGGTGCACTGCTCATGTTACTTCCGCTGTCATCGGCAATCTCTGCAGGAGTCACATTGCCACTTCCGCTTCCGTTCGCACTATTATTGTCGCTGGATGTTCCTTCTGCATCAGAATTCACTCGGCCAGCAATATTCGCCACCGCCGCCGCACCCATATTGAGCGTGTATTTTGCGAGACTGTGAAAAACATTGATCTCAACTGCGCTTCCACCAGCGCCCGTACCATCATGGCCACCGGGTTCTTTTCCTTCAGCATCTCCATTCTGCTTCCACGGATCCCCTATATCATATTCTAATCCTTTTGTAATCGGCGATGAAATGTGAGAATCTTCTTTCCACTCGTTGCTAACATCTTCAACCACGAGCGGATCTGAAGTTACAGTTGGGGACGCAGACCGAGAGACCGGACTGTCTAACCTCCGCCTATGCCGAGACACGTCACTGACCTCCTCGGGGGCTCCATTTAATTCTTCATCGCTCTTCCGAAACACTCCGGCCCAATATTTCACGTTCTTCACGTCAGGAAATAGTACACCCATATCTCCAAATTCCTCCACATCCTTTGCGCCATTATCATACGAGCAATTAATAAATCTTTCCTTCTCCGAATTAAAATAATCCCATAAAGAATGAGTTTGTGATTTTGCATTATGTTCCATTCGTTCCTTCTCGGAATTAAATAAGAATGTTCCAAATTGACAGGAGTAACAGTGATAGTGTAACTCGATCAAGAAAGTTTCATTGAATTCAAACCTTGTGGGAAATTGCGAATAGATCTGGTATACACAATCCAAAAATTGGTGAAAAACCGGAGAAGTTTCACGGACATGGGATTGCTTATAAAACTTGCTTTGCATTGAATTGAATGCAGAATTGGCAGCGTTAGTGTTTGCCGAGTTCACGAAGTATTTTTCGCTCGACAGATGACCGGAGCGATCGCTGAATTTGTGGCCAAAGGATATCCAATCCTTTTCCACCAAGACTTGAAATCCCCTCAGGGTACGGTAATAGGGATCCAAACATAACTCAGAGATAGAGGTCAATTGTGCCGTGCGGTCCCAACCATCCGAGCAATGCACGAGCACGTGGGAATTTGCGATGTGGACATTTTTAATGATGGTGAGTGCGGAGTCCAATAGCGTACTGATGTGCCTAAGCCAATAGGATTTTTCCAAATTATGCCTTTTTATGGGCACACATTGAACATCGGCCGAATGTATCGCTGCATACGAATAAAAAAAAAAAAGTTAATAAATTCAAATCAATGGGTCGTAAGAGTCAGGGTAATGTGGAAGAAGCATCAGAAATTTTGACAAATACCTTCCATTAACTTTCCCAGACTCTCTCTCATCACATGTATGTTGTCGATGCCCATGTGTTTCTTCTCACAATTCTTATAATTCTCCATATTTTCGGTGCCAGCACCCACTGCGACATTTGCCATGGCGTTTACAGTCGGACGGGCATCAATAATAAGATTCGTGGCCGTTGCCCCGTAAACCGGTTGCCCGTTTGATGAGGTCGGAACGTTCGACATGAAGACGGCTTCAATGAGTTTTTCGTCCTGTATCGATCGATTCTGTTTGAAACCGACCATCGGTTGGCTTGAACGTGTGATCGACGCCTGGCGAATGAGATCAAGGAATTCGGTGTTAAGATCTCTGCAGCGGTATCATGGGCAATTAATTATACGCATGGAGTTCGACAAAACCTTATTAAACCGATGCAAGTAACTTAAAGCGGGTACGCGATTTTTACTTCTGAATTTAGAAGCATGATTTAAAACATTGTCGCTAATCTTTGAGGGAACCACCAAAATCTGTGGGTAGGTCGGACAAAACTGTAATTGTGTTGATGAATAGTTAGAGTGAGTGTGGGTAAAATCGGTCGGTAGAGTTTTGTTCAACAGATGAAATGAAACGGGTTGAAGTTGAATTAATTGAATCATTTCGATCCAACACAACATAAATTAAGTGCTCCTGTCCGAATTAACTGAAATGAATAAAAGAAAACTATTCCCATACGGTATAACTTCGATTGACGGTAGAATATCGCCATGCATCGGTTCTTCCCATCCGTTCAAATTCTACAAGGGGATCGTAGATGGACCAACCATCGGATGAGGTGAATTTGTTCTCGGGTTCATAATAGAATGCATAAACCTGATTTATAGAACCTTTTTGTAAAAATAAGAGTTTTCAGTTGGCAAGAAATTTCGATGCGACATTAGCCTCGCGGATGCGTACTTATGCATGTCAGCTTTTGTACGGTATCGAACACGTCGTTTGCGTCGCGCTCCACCGGCACGGAGAAGGTGACAAATCTAAAATCCCGACATCGAATTACCAAAGGATGAAGTTTTCCGTTTGTAGCTGGTCGACGTTCAACCGTATGGATAATAGGGTACGAGATCTGTGGATTGTTGTTAAAGTCTTAATAAATACCTCACAACATGATTACATTCTGTTCAATAATAATAGAATGGTGATGATGGTGGAGATGAACTGTTTGACCTTCATGTGGAATGAAGAACGATCAAATTCACACAGATAGTTTCCACCAAATATTGAATTAGATTGCAACGTGTTGTCTCAACTTTGTTTGACTGGTCGACGAAAAAGTCACTTGAGTGAGGTAACATAATACAAACCCATAGTTCTTCTTTGTGATCGGGATATTTGAAGATCATCTGGTGCGTAGTCAAATGAAGAGTGCCAACCGCCACAATTTGTCCTTGTTCGAGTAGAACATTTTCAACCTAATTATTCATCATCCATTTAAAGTAATGGGGAGGAAATAGAGGAAAAATTAGTATAAATAAAATATTTCTTTACTTCTGCAGGTAAAAAACGGGGACCAAAACATCAATTCGTTGTCATGGTCACTAGTGTATACCGCTCTTTTTCAAATAATGAACCTTTGTGATCTTCAAATAGTCCATGTTCGCTCCTGCTCGCAGGTGATTTTGAGTTCAAGGGTGACAGCAAATGGGCAAATCGTGCGCGGCGTGTCAAGTAGATTTTGTTTGATGTAGCAGAAAATGTGGCTTTATATTACGTCCTCTATTCAAGTTTACATATAGGCACGTTCCTCGTGTATACTGAAAGTAACGTTATATCCTTAAAGTATGCTCAAATGCAAGTGTATAAAATGTATACCAAGGTAACAATTCAAAAAAATTATTATTTTTTTTTTTTCAGAGTGAAAGATACGCACGCACGTATGTAAATGACTCCTAGAATATCGCAGAGCGTACGTTGTACGTACACAGATCTGCATATAAAATTATGTAGATGCATAAAAAAAAAAATCTTTTCCTTATATCACGTAAACAAAAATGCCACCAGTTAATCGCCATTCGAGACGAATTGGTCGTCGACATAACCCGATTGCCCCGGACCCTAGTGTATTGCAAAAGCTCGGGTCACTGGTGAAAAGAACATACGAGGTGAACGCGAAACTCGGCTTCAATCTTCATTAATTTCAAATTTAAAACTAACATCACAATGTGTAGGCATTCATTATACCAATAATTAAATCTACGAGGAAGACGGTAATGCACAGGCCTCTACAGATTCCCGGAGCATTTCCTAAACCAGAAACAGCTCGGAAAGTTTATCTGACAAAAAAATACTTTAACTGTTGGCGAGAGAGTACTTCTAGAATAAAGAAGAAGATAGCGTTGGCGAAAGAGATCTATGAATTTAACAAGAAGGCTTACAGCTTTTTGCTGTGGGTCAACATGACCAGAAATAGTAAAGTAAGTTTTGGCCAAGTATTCATAAAAAAAAAAAAATTTTTTTTTATCATTTATCCTGACATCTACATTATCCGTTACTGGTCATGTAGATGAAAAAGATGATAGCTAAGAATGTCAGCTTTTCAGCCAAAGAAGAAGATCTACCGCCCATCTCTATATTAAAACAGAAACCGGGAGCTTCTGTAATATCATTATTACTTTCTATATGTAGTATTATATTATTTTCGAGGAAAGTTCGACGTGCAACTAAACTAACTCAGCAACTTATGCCCCTCACCACCGATAACACTTAACAGCGAAGGATTCCTCTCAAACAAAATCTACAATTTTCGAAAAACCTCGAACAAGTTTATAGCTATAGACCCGTGGAGGATAAAGACATGATTTACATACAAATCATCTCGGATAAGGAGGCCGAAGAAAACATGGAAGTCGACTTAAATGAAACCAAAAATAACGAGAATACGGAACCAATGAGAATAGACGAATTCGATGAATGTCCGGAAAAAGATGCGATGGAGGATGATGAAAATGAGATGAGCATCGTCGCTGTCCATAAGATAGCTGAATTTTATGAGTTCAAATACTTGAAACGTTCAGAAAAACATATAGTTTTGAAGAAAGCTTTCCAAATGTATAGATACGGCAGCTTAGACAACAAGGATTTGCAAAGAAAGTTGTTGAAGTTGATCTAGAACACGACAGTACCAAATTTCAATTATAACTTACGCGTAGACAAAATAGATTCATTCGTGGAGCACCGGAAATTTCTATGCTTCGACGAAATTTTTCCTTTTTTTTATTCATGGTTCACGTTAGAAGGAACGAGGTTAATGTAACAGGGGATCGGTCATCGGGGTCAATGGGGTGAAATCAAAAGGTGGATTTAAAATCATTGTGAATTTTTATCATAGACATCACATCGTGAATTTTTTATCATATATAACCGTTTACTTTTAGATCTCGCATTATATCACTTAATTTAATTTGTCTATCATGGAATAATCATCAAAAAAATTTTTTAAGATAATAGAAAAACTTCATTGCAAAACATATTTATAATTATCATTAATAAAAAACTTGATATCTTATTTGATAAATTTTTTAATATTTTTTTCTTAAAACAAAAAATTTAAAATTTTATATCACATCCAAATATCTCAATATCTGTTAAAAAAATAATTTATAATAATGTGATACAATTAGAACATCCGTAATATTAAAAAAAAAAAAAAAACGCTAGGTTTAGATTGTCAAGAAATATAGTTTTTGACAATTATAAATCAAACATTCATCTTTGTAATTAAACAATACAGATTTATTTAATAAAATTTGAAGTGTTAAAATTATTGCAATTATTAGTAGATTTCAAGAATATGTAATTTTTTATATCATTATCTTAACACCTTGATAATCAATTATTGCGTTTGGAAGTTATCACATGTTAACCATACACAAGCTATCAATGAGTGTGGTTGGCTTATATAAATCCATCAGACATTTTTTTTTTTTTTTTTTTTTTTTTTTTTGTGGGAACTTCAAGGCGCGACAATCAAATCGAAAAGATTGTCCCCTCATCTATCCATCCATCGTTTTTCACATAATGGCGAGCGTTGCAAGTCGGAATTTGTTTGATATACTTGCTGATAGTGAGGATGCTGAGTCAGTTGTGTCAGAAAAGGAACCAACGCCGAAGGAGAATGTAGCGGCACAAAAAAAAGTCGATAGGTCTCGTGCGAATCCCAAGGAGAATAGAATTCGACACGAATACCCTCAACGTGGAGGGTTTAAATCTTCCCCTTCTAATAACAGAAATGAAGACACAAGATCTGGTGGTATGTATCAAACAACGCTTCGAAAATAATTGGGCTGTTGTAATGCTTTTGCTTTACTTTGTGCAACTTTCAACAGTGCGCTACTTCATGAATGAGTTTACCTCGTTACCGCATGATATTTAAATTTAGCATTATTGATTTATTAAAGGTTATGCAGCAATAGCACGTTTGAAATTTATGTGCAATAGTTAAATGTATTTAATTAAGAACCTTATGTCATTTGCTGAAGCAGCACCTCGTGATCGAAACGTCGGTCCTCGTCTATCCAATCGTCGCGAAGAAGGTGGTGATTTTCCTAGCAGAACTTCACGGGGAGCTCGACCCAGCGAAAGAGGTCGTGGTGGTCGAGGAGGAGGTCGTCGTGGGCGTGAATACGACCGTCATAGTGGCACAGGCAGATAGTAAGTTTTTAAAACATCTAAGAATTAACGATAATCGTTTAATGTGATGCCAATTAATTTTATTTATAAATTAGCGACAGCGAGAAGAAGGAAAATCAAGGCTGGGGTAATGGCGCTAGTAACTGGGGCAATAATCAAACCACCGAAGAAACAACGACCAAAGGTGAAACTGATACCAACAACGTCACCTCCTCCTGGGGTAATGAAACGACTGATAACGGTGCGGATAGTGGATGGGGTGCAGCGACCGCTGAAGAGCAAGAATCCGGTGCCGCTCAGGAAAGTTGGGTTGCTCCTGAGGAAACGATCACAGCGGAATGGGAACAAAAGGAAGAAAGTACCGTTGCCAATGGTGGAGATGCACCGGTTGTTGAGCAAGAAGAATCCTTCAAAACATTAGACGAGTATCGTGCTGAAAAGGCTCCAAAAGCTCAAGTTGCTACCCTTCCCGAGGCAAGAAAAGCGAATGAAGGAGTTGACGATTCTCAATGGAAAGATGCAGTTCCTTTAGAAAAAGACGAAGAAGAAGACGTCCTTTTTGCTGGCAAAGTAATGCAATGAGAGGAGATTCTCACCAAGTTTACAAATATAAAGTTTAATAATGCATTTATGTATTTCTTTCTTTCTTTTTTTTTAGGAGCCTTCCTTTAGGTCCAAATCCAAAAAAGCCAAGGCAAAAAATTATCTTGAAATTGAGCAAACGTTTATCGAAAAGTTAGGAGCTGGTTCACGTGGGCGTGGACGTGCGCGTAATGGTCCTCGGGGAAAAGGCGATAGGCGTGACAGCCGTGATGGACGTGACCGTGATAACTATGAAAGCGACAATCGTCGTCGTGGCGGTGGCAATCGCGGTCGTGGTCGTGGTCGTGATCACGTTAATCTTGACGATCAAAGAGATTTCCCAAGTCTTGGTGCGTAGCCCAAAATTTCGAAGCTCAATGAACAATTAATATATAAGATTTCCCAATGGGACAATACATTTTTTCTTTTTATCTTCTCTTCTTGATTTCGTTGTTTATATAGGTTTTTTGAATATATTGTCTTTTTTTTCATTAACCAAAATGTTGCATTGAATATATTAAATTAACCCAAAGTCACTGTATTATTTTACAAAAGTAAATAGTTCAAGGGGGGCATTATTCCAAATTTACTTAACATTGTTTGCTTGCTTATATTCATGTTATTTAAAAGATATTGACAAGGATAGCACGTTGGTTTAAAGAAAAAAATAAATAAATAAATATATATATACATATTGACTGCGGAATCCTCCTAATAAATGGTCACTACTTCTCTGACCCTCATTATCGATTACATCAGTATATCAGTAAAGTTGGTTGCATCATGCACATTTCGCACCAACCAGTAAACATGAATACTAATACTGCTCAAAAGATAATTGGCCGAATGGTCTATCAGTTGCCCAGTTTAAACAGTGAACCTAAACCACTTGTCCTACCAAAAAAGACCCCGAAACGTACAGTATAGTGAACCGCCGTAAAAACGCCCCAAAAGGCCCAAAGCACGATATATTTCAGATAGAAGTTTTAGATAAAAATAACTGATATGCTGGGCTGGTATACAGTTTGTACCGTTAAAGCTCATTAGTTCTTTCTTTTATAGTTCATAAACTCGTTGGTATTCTAACGATCTTATTAACAAACCCACGATCGTTGTTCGAGATCGCCACTTGCGTCGTAATTCTCAACTCACTGTGTGTGAGAGTTGTGATATTCACCTTAAAAAAATTTTGTTCTCGGCATAAGGCTTGTATTAAAAACTATTTGTTCGTTTTTTTTTTTGTATTTTTTTTTTTTTTTTTTTTTGTATTTTTTTTTAGATATCTTTTTTTTTGTATTTTTTTTTTTACTTTCTTGATAAACAAGTAAAATAACCTTTTACTCTGATAGATCGTTTAAAGATGCCTCAGAAGACAACCGAAAACATGACACCATCAAACACAATCAACAATAAAATCAATTCTTCCGAATCTTTGTTGTCATTCGAGACAACCCAGCCGCAAAAGACTCTCGCTGCGTCTCAATGCCTACGACGGCTGGTCACAACTGCCGATTGCGAAACCGAAACGATTTCGAATCTCGGACAAGGTAAACTTCGAAATCCAAGACACGAGACAACCAAGAAAGTTGACGACCCAGTTGGGTAAGCAAGTCACTTCCCAATTACATTGTGAGTGGTCAGCAGAAAAAATTAGCTGCCGTATTTGTTGCCATGGGAATATCAAATCCCTTCAACAGGACAAGGTTTTTATTTATAACCCCATGCACGTTTCTTTATTATAGAAATTTTCGTTTATCTATTGATGAGTCGGTGCTCTCTGCCCTTTTGGAATGCTCCTATGTTGACTCTAGACATGAAATACTCGGATATTTGGGCGGAACATGTAATATTGATCGACTGAATGATAATGCTGTCGTTTGTCGCGTCAGTCAGTTCATCGCTTCCGAAAGGTATATAAAGAGGATTTAAAGTCATTAAAAATCCATGTTAATTCTTTTTCGATCGTGTCTCTAGGATCGTCACCTCTTTGCTCACAGATTCGGTACAAGAAATCGTGCAGGCCCGTGATAATGCGATTAACACTTTTAAAGAATTGGGCCTCGAATTCATAGGATGGTATCGAAGGTATTATTTCTTAACTGCACCAATCACAATTCGTTCATCGCAAATAAAGAATATATCCCTTCTCGTATTCTAATCAGTCTTTTCTTTCTTTAAAAACATAGCAACATTCATCTAAGTCCAAGTTCAATTCCTACTCAGAACGATATCAACAAACATCAAAAACTCCAATCACAGGTAAGTCTGAATGATGCGTCGATGACGAACCCTGTGAATAATTAAATGATCCTCACTTCGTGTATCTCTTTTAGTTTCCAGGTAGTGTTGGTGTCATTGTATCCGTATCATCGGTTTCTTGTCCCCCAATTAATTCAAGAACACCTGTTGTGGATGGTATGCTTAATTCATTATGTGCGTTTCGCACGCCGGCGGAAAACAGTAGCGATGAAGAAAACGCCGTGAAGTCAAAGAATGGCAAAATATGGAAGGGCAAAGGAAAGGAATGTCACAAAGTCAATAAACTGACATTTAATGTCAACCGTCAAGCTTATATGTGTCCGAACGTCATGCAACAACTGAGTTGCGCTTTGATGGTATGGTAACGTCATCTTTCTTTATGTCACGCATTCAAAAAATTATAAAATTTATTGGAAGTATTTTAAGCCAAGTTAATCCTTTCAATTTAAATAAATAGGCAATACTTCACGAAGCAAAACAAATTTATTCCGGGCAGGTTTTGGATTGTGATAATAGGAATGGTCAACGAATATTAGTCGACTATCAATATGAAGCATTCCTCATGAACTTCCTGAAAAAAAGTGTGCTTCAGGTAAGATGGATTTAGTTGAATATCGTCATTTCACTTCCCCGGTCGACTATCGAATCATACTTATCTGCATAAATTCACGATGTAGCTCGATAGGTCAATAGAACAGGATTTTAGGTCACTGGCCGTTGCAAAACATCACGTCAAGGAAATCATAATGAAACGTATTAACGAAATCTTGCAACGACGTAGCGTATCCAACGAAAATGAAATGCAATTAAAACGAGGAAAAATTGAGAAATTAATAGAGAAGGTAATTTATTGACGATGATCAGTAAAATTAGTACAAGATATTAAAATTGTAATTGTAAACGCAGCTTGTTGCGCAGCGCATTTCCAAGCGTGAAAAAGACACCAAAATATCGGAAAATACCGATGGCGTTATTCAGTGGCTTAATAAAGGGACTTCAAATGGTGATCAAAAGAAGAATACATGTGAAAATCTAGCCCCGGACTCTGGAGAAACCACATCTTCTAAAACAAGCGATGCTATGCCCCAGAATAAGATTCAATCGTTCCACTCGTCTCCGAGACAATTTACACCCATAAAAGAATCTTCACAATTCATCAACACAATAGTGGGCAATGATCAAGAGGACAGAGGGGCATCAACAGATGCCGTTTTCAACAATAAATCAATAGATATTGATGCGTTAATAAAAAAAGAGGCTGTACCTGTCTCGGGAGGTGCTGGCGATGAATGTACTAAAAAGACCGATAAGCAACTCCTGAGAAAATTAAGCATAGACGCATCTCACACTTCACCACCAAACTCAAAAAAAATAAAAACCAGCTCAAATCCCACCATGATTGATTTTGGTGGAGTTCATGTACAAGCGGCGGCTTTTCCTGATTCTAAGCCAACATTTAGTTCCAACGATGCAATGAATGGAAGTTCGACTCATCATTCTAACAGTAGATCAACAACATCTCAATCATCCCAATATTCACCTTCGGCGCAGTCAACTGTGAATTCATCACCAACTTTCGCTACCATAGCACCACTGCCGCCAACAACGCCACCCTCTTCGTCAACGCATATTAATATTTCAACCACAAGCAGTTCATTAGGCACCACACAAAATGCAAGTGGAATACAGTACTCTTACCCGTACTCTACGAATGGTTACCGATCGTTCCATGGATCTGAAGATTTGCCCGCTTGCAACGGGAGTAAGCCCCCCAACAATTGTCCTCAGGGATCCGGAATACATTTGCCTAGTATTCAAGGGTTGCTTGAAATAAGTCATAACATTTCACAACCACCACCATCTCCTTTACCAAACGGCGTAATGACAGTTGATTCGAATTCTCCAGGATTGATACACTCACCATTCTCATCTCCGATGCTCCAATCATACCAAAACAATCAATTTTATCCCTTTGGGCATCAACTTCCAAAACCACCGAACCTCATTCAACCCGGAACTCCACCCTCGGTGGCTTCGATACCGCATCCAATTCACCAAATAAATTCAAATGTGCCACCACCGTCTGCAAACTCTAGACATTACATTCCGATCGCGCCATCACCCTCACCGAGTAACCGTCCACCCTTACAATCATCTCAACCGGCAACAACCATATACACAAGTTCTACGAGATATCCTTCGAACGATTCAGATTATCATCGATGGTAGTCGATATAATCGTTGGATCTTGCAACTGATAAACCTTGATAATTATCCACCTCATCTCGGACGATACATAATCCAAGAAAATGTTGTAAATTTTCTAGAACGTAGTGTTCGGATATGCCGAATCATAATCAAAGATTTTTAAATATAAGGATGCGAAGGACCATTATATGTTACATTTCCTTTTTTCGTAGACGAGCAAAAAGTGGTGGTGAGTACAAGGGACTATTGTAAATTTTGCGTACATGCATAGCAATGAAATTCATTTCTAGCTTGAATGGCATCACTTTATGTGCGCGCAATCTATCAACATGAAACCCTTTCCTTAAAGGGCATTTATACATATACCACATATTCCTTTTCCTTAGTAATTTTCGTGCTGGCACCTTTTGGGTTAATTTTTAAATTTGTAATTATTGTTTGAACAAGGTATTCTTCCTTGCACCTGAGAAAAGACTGCAATTTCATCTCATTCGGTGGACATAAAACAACTTTCATAAGACTTGCAATTTTATTTTCGATTTCAAGGCTCTTGAAAATACGGTGAAACCGTTAAAAATGCATGATACAAAAAAAAACAAAAATAAAGATTTTAGCAATTAATTAATCGCAACAAAATTTTATTTATAATTCTTTTTAATTAAAAAAAAAAAGTATAGAATGTTTATATAAAAAAATTTGTACAAAGAAGGTTGCGTTTTGTCATTTTCGCATTTAGATATAATTTGAAATTAATATAATAGAAACGACCCGTTTCGAATGTCAAGGTATATGATTATGACGTGGGTGGAAGACATTTGTCATCACAACGCTATATAAAGGTGTATAATGTTCGTAATAGGCAAGAAAAGAAAAATACTTATGCTATGAAATATATACTACAATACAAAATATTTAAGTGCACCTTTAGAAATAAAATAAAATTAATTTTACTACGCATCAAAGTGTACCACAAAAGTTTCTTGTCGAACAAAATAAGTGGTTTGAAAAGTTACGCTTAAAAAATTTGCAATTTTCTTTTTATCCTTTTAACGAAAACTATAATCACAAAACGAAACCCCATTTCCTTCTAATAACGGTTTGAGTGTCAATTTTTGGTAAGGCGTCGATACTGGGTCAAAGTAATAACCTAAGTCGAAAAAAAAAGTTCAGGTTTCAGTAATTAATGTTTGTGGGAAAAAAAAAAAAAAAAAAAAAAAAAAAAAAAAAAAAAAAAAAAAAAACCCGAACCTTAAATAGCTCCGTCACTTCTCCTAATACAGATATAATAAAAACCAGCAATAGTTAACCCACTTTCCTGAGCGGTCACATTGACAAAATAACGTTCTAATTCAAAAGATTTCCTTAATAAACGAGAAAAAAAAAGTGGAAATTATTGAAAAAAAATTTTTTTTAAATCATTATCTCACCTTTCCATCTCATAAATATATATTTTTGACATGCCTCCTGAAACCACTCTCGGGAAGTTCCCCTGAGTATACTGTTGTTATTTAAAAGGCGAAGCCAATAAGAAAAGATGCCGCGAAGACTCAAGGATAATCTAATTTACTATAATCATTACCTTCGAACATCCATGTGACGAAAAGCATCAAACTTTTTCCAATGTTCAAGATCGATTTTTAGAGTGGAATTCCATTTATCCGTCCAAAGTGAATGGTTAACAAAATCGATCATTTCACCCTCCCAATATGTAACTACTGTATTCGAACTAGATGGCACATTCAAAGCTTCCATTAACCCAATGACCGTACCAGTTTTATAATTCACGTAATGAAAGGTCTACCATCATAAGGATGAAATGAATTGATTAGTTGAAGATAATCTGATAGCGCCCCCAATGTAAGGAACATGTCGACACCATACCACTTTGACTTCCCATTCCTCATTGCCCTGTGTTGGTTGTGTGTTCATCAAATTTTGCGTTCCCGAAAAGGACATTCCAGCACGCAAAAAACTAGACTCGGGTAAATGAAATTGTCCTAATTCCTTTGAGCCAACTTCATCTATGGTTTTCGAACCCAGTTCGCTGTTATATTTTACACGTTGTGAGAGATAAGAAGCTGTGATGGCATTTGACCTTCGCAAGGACACCCGCGACCTTAACGGAGAAAAGCTACGGATGCGCTGTGACGACGATCTACGGTGATGGCGAGAAGTGTATGGAACTCCGAGACGTTGAAAGATCCCGTATGTCGATGAAACACGGGGACGTCGTTCTTCGTCTTCGGAAGTATACTCTCTGTCCAAATCCATACTTGTAGTATTAAAGTCGGCATAATGACGACCAATGGATAGATCTTCGGCATCACTATTCGCCTCTAAATCTTCCTGCATGTTGTTTTCCTCTAACTCGCTGTCGAGATCAGGTAGCATTTCTGAGGCATAGTAAATCTCGGTTTCAGAATCATTTGCTGCAAACATGAGTTGATTCGTGCTAAAATAATACTTGAAGAATCGTAATTTGATTTCAGAAAAGCTTGTAACAATATTTGGCTTCGTATTTCTGACAACAAAAGAATTCTAAGAAAATAATGTATTGTGTGTTGCACAGTATTTGAAGTGCAGCTCTCACACGTAGTACATCTATTTATTACTAGTGGCGGTGAGGATTTACAAGAGCGCCTGTAAAGTTTACTTTTATAGATTTTTATATGTCAGATGACGGAATTACAATGCAACGTCCAATAATTAACTCTCGAATGCAACAGTATTCTGATCTCCGGATATAATTGGGGCTCTATAAAGTAATACCCGGAGAAAGTCTCTATTTCGAATAATAATAATATAAACTTTTCTTTGGAGATTGATAATAATATGTCCAATAAAAAAACCATGAAATCAAATTACGTATATAATATAGTTATTACTGCATTTCCGAAATAGATAGTTAGTCTTTAATTAATCTTTTTTTTGAATTGAAAATAAATAAATAATATATTATATTAAAATCATACTGTATATAATCAAAAAAAATTTTTTTATTCTTAATAATATTATTATAGTGTATCTTTATTGAGACATTACTGTAAATGAATATCCAATAGATTACAGATTTTTATATAACAATTGACTTGCCATTGTACATTATTAGTTAATTATACTATTTAAAAGATATAAAAAGTTTATTAGGCTAGCTTAAATTAAACAAAATTAAGTCTTAATTAAATATTCTAAATTAAATTTAAAAAATAATATTATATTTCTCTAATAGTTTAATACTTACTTAATCTATAATTATCAAAAAATTCTTTTCGCTGATCCTCTGCTTACACACAAAAAAGATGTTCACAAGAAAATTTTTATTTCTTTGCTAATAAAGTCTTAACACTATCCTTAAACCAATTTAAAGTTTTACTTTAAGAGAT